AGTTTTAATGAAAATAGTCTTTATAAGATTGTGGCCGATCTGTACCTCAATTCCAATTACCCACCCTTGCCCCATATCCCTTGATACCCTGACCTAACAAATATCTATCCGTCTCAGTCTTGAAAATGTAAATTGATCCATCATTGATAAGGTGCCGCATAAAAGGTTAGTCCAAAGGTTAAGGGCCCATGGAATTGGGGGTAGCATATTAACGTGGATTGGGGAATGGTTAACGGGTAGGAAACAAAGAGTAGGGATAAACGGGTCCTTTTCAGATTGGCGGGATGTGACGAGTGGAGTGCCACAAGGATCAGTCCTTGGGCCTCAGCTATTTACCATCTACATCAACGATCTAGATGAGGACATCAAAATTAATATATCTAAATTCGCGGATGATACAAAACTAGGAGGAAGTGTCAACACAGAGGGGGATATTAAAAAAAATGCAGCGAGACATAGATAGGTTAGATGATTGGGCAGGTAGGTGGCAGATGAAGTATAACATAGGGAAATGCAAAGTCATCCACCTGGGTAGCAAAAACAGTAGAGCGGGTTATTTTTTAGAAGAGGAGAGATTGGAATGTGTTAGCGTCCAGAGGGACTTGGGTGTCCTTATACAGACATCACAGAAAGTTAGTCTGCAGGTGCAGCAGCAATTAGGAAGGCGAACGGTATGTTAGCATTCATTATGAAAGGATTAGAATATAAGAGTAGGGAAGTCTTGCGGCAAATGTATAGGGCCCTGGTGAGACCACACCTGGAATACTGTGTGCAGTTTTGGTCTCCTCATTTAAGGAAGGATGTACTTGCCTTGGAGGTGGTGCAGTGTAGATTTACTAGGTTAGTACCAGGGATGAAGGGGTTGAGTTATGAGGATAGGCCTATATTCTATATTCTATATTGGGCCTATATTCTCCAGAATAGAGAAGAATTAAAGGGGATCTTATAGAAACCTATAAGATCATCAAAGGGCATGATAGAGTAGATAGTGGGAGATTGTTTCCCCTGGTTGGAGAAACTAAAACCAGGGGTCACAACCTTAAAATCAGAGGTCAGCCCTTTCGCACTGAGTTGAGGAAGAACTTCTTCACTCAAAGGGTGGTGAATGTATGGAACTCACTACCCCAAAGGGCTGTTGATGCTCACTCCTTGAACATATTCAAGACTGAGATAGATAGATTTCTTACTGCAAAAGGGATAAGGGATATGGAGATAAGGCAGGGTTAGGTTATTAGCTGGAGTTAGATTAGAAGATCAGCCATGATTGAATGGCGGCGCAGGCTCGAAGGGCCGAATGGCCTACTCCTGCTCCTACATGTTATGTTGTTATGTTATGTTATGTTATGTATGTTATGTTATGTATGTTATGTTATGTTATGTTATGTTATGTTATGTTATGTTATGTTAGAGGCAAGGGAGGAGGCGAGGTGGAGGGACTATGGGATGGAATTCCAGAGGGTGGGGGCAGAGTGGTTGAAGGCCCACCCACCCATGGTATGGTGGGTGAGGCTGGTGATGTAAAACAGCCTTGCTGAGCAGAGGGAGAGGGCAGGTTGGTAGGGGGTTAGAAGGTCACAGAGTTAATAATAATAATAATAATAAAGGGTGAGTAAGGCCATGAAGGGCGTTGAAGGTAAGGACCAGGGTCTTGAACTGTTTCCTCTCTGTGATGAGAAGTCAGTGGAGTCGGGCGACGATGGGGTCATTAGGGTCACGGAGCCTGTTGCGTGAGAGGACACGCGCTGCAGAGTTTTGGATGATCTGCAGCTTATGGAGGGAGGAGATGGGGAGGCCGACAAGCAGGAAGTTTGCATAGTCAAGAGTGAATGTTATGAGTGCTTGTATGAGGGTCTTGGCGGCCTGCAGTGTGAGACAGTGGTGGAGCTGGACAATGTTGCGGAGGTCGGAGAAGGCAGAGCGAGTCGTGGCATGGATGTGGGATAAAAAGGATAGTTGAGGGTCAAACAAGTCGCCAAGGTTCCGGACTGGCTCAGTGAGGTGGAGTGTGCTTCCTTGGATAGTGATGCTGTCGGCCCTGAGGTGTGAAGACACTGATGGGAGCCAATCAGGAGAGCCTTAGTCTTGTTGACGTTCAACTGTAGAAAGTTAGCCCTCATCCAGAACCTGATGTCCAACAGACATTCTGTCAGGGCAGCAGTGGTCCTAGAGTTGAGGGTGGAGGCAGAGAGGTACAGTTGGGTGTCATCCACATACATGTGGAAGTTGACCCCATGTCTGCAGATAATGTCACCAAGAGAGAGCATATAGATATTGAAGAGGAGGGGACCAACGATAGAGCCCTGAGGAATGCCGCACAAGACGGTGTGGGGGCTAGAGGAGAAACCGTTTGTGGAGCTGAAGTGGAGACGGTGTGAGAGGTAGGATCTGAAGCATTCAAGGACAGAACCATGAAGGTTGAGGTGAGAGGGGAGACGGTAGAGGAGGATAGAGTGGTCAACGATATCGAAGGCAGCAAAGAAGTCAAGGAGGACGAGGAGGCATTTTGTTGCAGATGGACAAGATGTCTTTTGTCACTTTGATCAAAGCTGTTTCTGTGCTGTGGGTAGCACAGAAACCCGATTGGAGGGATTTGTGAAGGGAGCGGCGGGAGAGGAAAGAGCGAAGCTGGGAAGCAACGAATTGTTCAAGGATCTTGGAAAGGAAAGGGAGGTTGAAGATGGGTTGTAATTTGAGAGCATAGATGGGTCCAGGAAGGGTTTTTTAAGGATAGGAGTGATGATGGCCATTTTTAAAGGAGTGGGAATGTTGCCAGTGAACAGGGAGAGCTTTATGATATCTGTGAGTAGAGGGGCAAGGAGATGGAGTGGGAGGTAAGGAGAGGGGCAAGGATGGAGTCGAGGAAGCAGGTGGTCGGTTTCAAGTGAGTGGTAAGAGAGGAGGGAAAGACAGGTTCGAAGGTGTGGAGGGAAGGATGGGTAGAGCTTAAAAGTTATTTTTAAAGCAAATAACTTAAAGTTATTATAAGTTACAAGCGGATAATTTAAAGACACAGTTTAGCCATGTATTTACCTCTGCAGTCCCATTGTACATTCTAAATATCCTTGATTTAATCAACCTATTAAATAGTCTAATTCCAGTCAAATAGTTTCCTATGCAGGCCTCTTCTAAACATGTCACTAGTAAATCAAGCTCGTATTGCCTGATATGGAAATAATTCTGGCACAGCATGCTAATCCCATAAAAAATGTGCTGAAGTGCGTGAGAAAAAGAAGCACAGGTGTTGTTTTCTGTTATTTCTCGCACACTGTAACTTACTGTTGTAGCAACCAATTTTAAACACAGTTATCCATTGTGTGGCTCGATTTTTTTTCAACAAAGGACTTGATCCAAATTTCTGACTGGGGAATTAATTAGACTAAGACTAAAAAGTGCTCTGAGATGCTACTTCGCATGAAGGGTGCTATTTAAATGCAAGTTGTTGTTGTTGAATTACTGGATTCACATCAACATAAGTAAAACAAAAAGGCTCTCTAAATAATAATAATCCTTGCATTTGATATAGTGGCTTTCACTTTGTTGAGACGTCTCAAAGCATTTCATAGGATATACTGTAAAGTGGATTGACTGTGTATTTTGTGAGCGAAACATGGCAGACAGTTGCACACAACAATATCCCGCAAACAGCCATCGAGTGTGTGACCAATTTTATTGTACCCTGGAATATCAATTTCATGACGAAATGTAACAAATGTTATTTTATTGTTGGCCAGGACACCTTCTCTTTTCGAGTAGTGCAATGGGATCCATAAAGTCCACCTGAACAGGCAGATGGAACCTTGTTAAATGCTTAAAGATTTAAATCTATCATTTTAGGAGCAAAAATCACAATCTCTTTTAGTTAAAATTAGCTGAATGGATTGAAAATTAAATTGCAGTATTAAAAGTATTATACTTTAATGCATTCTAATATTTTGGGTTAGGTGTACCGTTACATGGTAGGCAGGTATTTTCCAAATGAAGAATCAAGTGACCTATACTGCCACATTCTCAGTCAGTCGCGCAAAATAATGCGAAATTGTAAGGAAATTCATGATTTCCGTTCTTGTCTCATCCAAAGGACATACCTCTGATACCTCCCTCCCCCCTCCCAACACTGCAGCTGGGTCAGCCTAGATTACAAGATCAAATGCCAATGGCCTTGAACCCATATCTCTAACTCACAGGCGAGAACTGAGCAAGACAGACAACACAAGTTACACAAACATTGTTCCTGTGAGGGTGGCTGTACATGCGCAAAGCAATTCTTGTCCCCTCTCAAACTCAGTTTCCACTCTGAGTACTTCTTTGCTCAGTTTGTCCAGATTTAAAATGTTCATTCAGTATTCATACTTTATACCTATCATTACTTTAACAATAAAAACCCATGAGGCTACCTGCGTGAAGGGTGCTGCATTTATATAGCACCCTTCACGCGGGTAGCCTCATGGACCGTTCAATAGCGGGATGCTTTGACGCCGAACTGGAAGGGGGTGGGGGGGAAAGTGAAGTCAAAGGAAAGTGTTGAAAAGGAAAATCTTCTGGTGAAATGGGCAGAGAAGAGGCAGAATTTATTTTTATCCCATGTCAGGCAAAGAGCCAAGTGGGGTAAGTGAGGTAAGTGGGGTCTCCTTGGAGCTGAACTACAGTAAAATGTTGTCCTCTTTGTGACCAGGGATGTCAGACATTAAGATACATTTGTAGTCCACAGCCAACCTCGCCCAAAGTTAGCCCAATATTATATGTCGCCTCCTATATATAGAAGAGTGGCCAATTTAGGTTAGTGCTTTTGAAACTGTGTAAAGGTTTTCAAAGGGGTTTTTCAAGTTTAAATTTAAAAAAATTAAAATTAGGCACTCCCCCCCCCCCCCCCTCCCCAAACACTTATTTTCACGCACAGCCCAACCACAAAATCGCCCAATTGGGCGTGAAGCCGCCCAATATTGGACTATGAGACTTTGGTGCTGGTAAATGGGCGGGGCTGGCGGGTGGAACGTCATAAACGCGCGCCGGCGAGCTGACGTCAGCGAGCGAGCCCGGGTGGAGGTGACGGTTGGTGGCGGCGGTTTGAATTGGTGGCTGAGCGGCCGCTCCTGGCAGTATGAAGGTGGCGGTGTCGAAGGGCAGCATCACCTCAGCCATCAGGAAACACAGGCCGGGGCTGAGACTGAGCAGAGACATCCACACCATGGTGAGAGAGAGAGAGAGAATAGCACATCCTGGGAGAGAGAACAACAACAACAACAACAAGATGACATTTGTATGGCGCCTTTCACGTCGGGAGGACGTCCCAAGGCGCTGGACAGTGTACAGCATTTCAAACCCGAGCTGGGGGAGAAGGGAGGGGAAGGGGGTGACCGATGGCATGGTCGAAGAGAGGGATTTGAAGCGGGACTTGAAGGAGGCTAAGGAGGGGCCGAGAATAGCACAAAACACAAAATACTGCAGATGCTGGAAATCTGAAAGACAAACAGAAGTCGCTGGGAACGCTCAGCAGGTCAGGCAGCATCTATGGAGAAGGGAAAGTGAGTCAACGTTTCGGTCCACCGCCCTTCGTCAGAACGGAGAGAAGAGCACACCCTGGGAGAGAGAGAGGGAGAATAGCACATCCTGAGAAAGAGAGAGAGAGAATAGCACATCCTGAGAGAGAGAGAATAGCACATCCTGAGAGAGAGAGAGAGAGAATAGCACATCCTGAGAAAGAGAGAGAGAGAATAGCACATCCTGAGAGAGAGAGAATAGCACATCCTGAGAAAGAGAGAGAGAGAATAGCACATCCTGAGAAAGAGAGAGAGAGAATAGCACATCCTGAGAAAGAGAGAGAATAGCACATCCTGAGAGAGAGAGAATAGCACATCCTGAGAGAGAGAGAATAGCACATCCTGAGAAAGAGAGAGAGAGAATAGCACATCCTGAGAAAGAGAGAGAGAGAATAGCACATCCTGAGAGAGAGAGAATAGCACATCCTGAGAGAGAGAGAGAGAGAGAGAATAGCACATCCTGAGAAAGAGAGAGAGAGAATAGCACATCCTGAGAGAGAGAGAATAGCACATCCTGAGAGAGAGAGAGAGAGAATAGCACATCCTGAGAGAGAGAGAATAGCACATCCTGAGAGAGAGGGAGAATAGCACATCCTGGGACAGAGAGAGAGAGAATAACACAGCCTGGGGGAGGGAGAGAGAGAGAGAGAATAGCACATCCTGAGAGAGAGAGAGAGAGAATAGCACATCCTGAGAGAGAGAGAATAGCACATCCTGAGAGAGAGGGAGAATAGCACATCCTGGGACAGAGAGAGAGAGAATAACACAGCCTGGGGGAGGGAGAGAGAGAGAGAATAGCACATCCTGGGACAGAGAGAGAGAGAGAGAGAATAGCACATCCTGAGAGAGTGAGAGAGAAAATAGCACACGCTGAGAGAGAATAGCACACCCTAAGAGAGAATAACACACCCTGGGAGAGAGAGAGAGTAGCACATCCTGGGGGGGGAGGGAGAGAGAGAGAGAATAGCACACCCTGGGAGAGAGAGAGAGAGAATAGCACACCCTGGGAGAGAGAGAGAGAGAATAGCAATGACAACAACAAAGTTACACTTGTAAAGTGCCTTTCACGTCGGGAGGATGTCCCAAAACGCTGAACAGTCAAAGATCAGGACTCAAGCATGGGGGGCAGGATTGGGATGAGGGAGGGCAGAGTGGGTAGGAGGGCGGCTGAAGGCACGATCAAAAAGGAGGGTCTTGAGTCGCGCCTTGAAGGAGGCAAGAGAGGGAGCAAGGTGAAGGGATTGTGGGATGGAGTTCCAAAGAGTGGAGGCAGAGAGGCTGAAAGCCCGGCCGCCGATGGTAGGGCGGGTCGGGCGGGAAACGTGGAGCAGGCCAGAGCCTGCTGAGCAGAGGGAGTGGACAGGTTGATAGGAGGTCAACAGGTCAGAGATGTAGGAGGCGGCAACGTCAGGCAGGGCCTTGAAAGTGAGGGTGAGGATTTTGAATTCTATCCTTTAAGGGATGGGGAGCCAGTGGAGCCGGGCGAGGGTGGGGGTGATGGCATCATCGAGCCTTGTGCAGGTGAGGTTATGAGCTGCAGAGTTCTGGATGATCTGCAGCTTGTGGAGGGAAGAGTTGAGGCCGACAAGGAGGGTGCTTCCATAGTTGATCCTTGAGGTGTTGAATGCATGTATGAGAGTTTCAGCGGCCTGAGGGGTGAGGCAGTGGCGGAGTCGGGCAATGTTGTGGAGGTGGGGGAAGGCAGAGCGGGTCATGGCACGGATATGGAGGAGAAAGGACAGTTGAGATTCGAACGAGATGTCCAGGTTCCTAACTGGCTTGGTGAGATGAAGTGTGCAACCGTGGATACCGAGTCTGCCAGTGCCTGAGGTGCTGAGGCGCTGGCGTGAGCCAATCAGGAGGGACTCAGTCTTGCTGACATTCAGCTGTAGAAAGTTGGCCCTCATCCAGGACGTGATGTCAGTTGTCCTGGAATTGAGGGTGGAGGCAGAGAGATAGAGTTGAGAGTCATCTGTGTACATGTGGAAGTTGCCCCCATATCTGCGGATGATGTCACCAAGGGGGAACATGTAGAGGTTGAAGAGCAGAGGACTGAGGACAGAGCCCTGAGGAACACCGCACGAGACGGTGCGGGGGCTGGAGGAGAAACCGTTGGCGGAGATAAATTGGAGAGATAAGACCTGAACCATTCAAGATCAGAATCTTGAAGGTTGAGGTGAGTGGAAAAGTGATGGAGGAGGATGGAGTGGTCCAGCACACCCTGAAAGAGAGAGAGAGAGAACAGCACATCCTGAGAGAGAGAGACTGTGTGTATTACCACCTAATGTGAGGGAGAGAAACTGTACATTTCCCCCATCATGAGAGAGACTATATCAAACAAACAAAATTATATTTATATAGGCTTCTTTGACTTGAGAAAGACATTCCAAGGCAATATCAACAACTTGCATTTATATAGCACCCTTTACGTAGGATAACATCTCAGAGAGCTGTACTGTAGGGTGATCCGTGTTTTGTAAACCAAATCCTGGACATGCATATATTGAAAAAAAATTTGCCACAATTCCTGATGCTAGAAGCTTGTTGGATTAATGGCTGTATTTCTCTGATGAGTGTATCTATTTAAATTTGTTGCAGAACTCAAGACGGGGCAAATTTGGCCAGGGACGCAATACCTCATTTGGGTACTGTCCCTGGAAATCGGGGATATATGGTCACCCGTGTACAGTGGCGGAGGTTAGAGATTGAATAGTGGAGGCAGGGAGCAGGTGATCAGAAGCATGATCGAAGACATAGTTTTTGGGGTTGGATTTAAAGGACACAACACATCATCCAGGGACTGTCCCTAGAAATCGGGGACATGTGGTCACCCGACTGTACAGTGGCAGAGGTTGGAGTTTGAGCATGGGAGGGAGGGGCAGGTGACCATAGGCACAGTCGAAAAGATAGTTTTTGCAGTGGGATTTATGGATAGATAAAGGTAGAGCAAGGAGGTCGTTCCTGAGGGACACAGTAACTGAAGGTCGGCACTGATGGTGCTATTGGAGGGATCGGGGGATGTGTAGCAAGGCTCTATTAGCTGAGCAAAGGGGGTGGACAGAGGATCGGGATACAAATAGAGAGGCAGGGAGGTGCTACAACTGGAGCACTCTGGAACTCAGGAATACTCTCCCTCAATCCCTCCAGCTTGTCCCTCTCTCCCTCTTTTCAAGTCCCGCCTGAAAACCTTCCTCTTCGACCGTGCTTACCTCCCCTCCCACCCACCCCGGCTCGGAGTCAGGCTCTACCACTGTTAAGTGCTCTGAGACGCTATCCTGCGTGGAGGATGCTATATAAATGCAAGTTGTTGTTGTTGTACTAGAGTGTGAAGGCATGTGTATGTGAGGGTGAGAATCTTGAACTCGATCCATTTGGAGAGAAGCCAGTGGAGCCTGGTGATGTTTGGGGAGATGGATGCCTGGAGTTTGTTTGCGGGGATGGGGTGGCCGGAGTTTGTTTGCGGGGGGTGGGTGCCTGGAGTTTGTTTCCGTCGCCTTTGATACTATGGACCACTCAATTCTCCTCCACCGTCTCACCGTCTTGTGCGGTGTTCCTCAGGGCTCTGTCCTCAGCCCTCTGCTCTTCATCCTCTACATGCTCCCCCTTGGTGACATCATCCGCAGACATGGGGTAAATTTCCACATGTATGCGGATGACACCCAACTCTATCTCTCTGTTTGGGGGGGAATGGGTGCCCGCAGTTTGTTTGGGGGGGGGGATGGGTTTTGAATTAGTTGGACCTTGTGGATGGAACTAGGGAGTCCAGTACGGACGGCGTCTCGGAACACTCAGAGTGGATGAGGGTTTCAGCAGCAATTGATGAATTGCACAATCTCTCACACAATGTGATATGCAAAACATCTACATTGTGTGCAATCCATCATTTCTTGAGAGACTCATATTATCACATTGTGAGAGATACTGTTATCACATTGTGAGTGAGAGAGACACTGTTTATCATCAAATCATGAGAGTGTGTATATCATCGCATCACAAGAGTGAGACTGTGTATATTACCACACTAAGTGAGAGAGACTGCATTTATCACTCACATCATGAGACCGAGACTGCTGTTTTGCCCACATCATGGGAGACAATGAATATATATAGTGTGTGTGTGTGCGAGAGAGAGAAAGAGAGACTGTTTCACCCACATTATGAGGGTATTATCATCTACAATGTGTGTGCATTTGTATCAGAGAGAGAGAGTCTGTGTATATCATCCCATCTTGAAAGACTATATATCACCACATCCTGAGACTGTTTGTACCATCATACCATTAGAGAGAGAGATACTGTGTATATATCACATTGTGAGAGAGAGAGTGTTTATATCACCACATTTTAAAAGTTAGTGAGAAAGACACAATATCATCTACTCCTGAGAGATAGAAGCTGTATGTCATCCATATCATAGGAGAAAGTTTGGATCTCCTAGCAGATCAATTTCAAGGTCCATCCCTTTAGGCTCTAGCGCTTTGATCTCCTACTCACTTGTCTGCTCAGCCCTTCGTTCAACTAACTGAAGCTTGCTGTGTGTGTCCCATCTGCTCCATGTTGCCATCAGTGGCCGAGCCTTCAGATACTACGTCCCAAACTTCTGGAACTCCCTCCCTCTACACTACCATCTGGCAGCCTGTTTCTTGCCAAAAATTCAACCTGCAAGCCCTGACATAAAATCCACTTCAATCCGATGGTCACTTTTCCCTTGCTCAGCATCAAACCTGCCTTTGTAAAGTGCTCTGAGAGGTTATCCTATTTGAAGGACAGTAGAAATGCAAGCTGTTGTCCTTCTAATGAGATGTTAGACTGAGGTCCTGTGTTATGGTGGTGTTGAAGATCTGATGGCACTATTCAAAAAGAGAAGGGAGTTTCTCCTGATGTCCTAGCTAATAATCTCTCAGATGAAAAAGTGGTAATTATGTCTGTTTGTGAGAGATTGTTCTGTGTAAATTGGTTGCCCTGTGAAGTCTTTTGACATTATAAGAGCTATACCAAATGAAAGAATTGACTCAGCTATATTTTTGGCTCTGATTGATGTGGGGTGATGCAAGCTTTCCCACTGCTTGTCCAGCTTGGACCACCCTACCCTTTAGGGCTTTGGCTACCCGTTAGGGTTAACAGGAGCTGAGTGGGATGACTCCCTACCTCCAGTGACTACTCTGCCTTTCCAAGTCCTGCCGATGAGCCAGATTGGAATACTGCAGATCCTCCTGACTCAGGAACTGGACTACTGAGACCGCCATAGAGAGCTGGTTCGATTCTGACATTGCCAGTTCAGCTCCAAGGAGACCCTGCTTACCCCACCCCCACTCCCAGGAGGACAGGGAAGGTATTAGAAGCTAGGAACTACTTAATTCTGTAATGTGAAGACTGTTTGGTACAATAAGATCTAATAATAATAATAATGCTTGCGTTTGATATAGTCTCAAAATGCTTCACAGGAAATACTGCCTTATCAAGAACAACTGCTTTATATGATCTTCTCTTGGATCCATTCCTTTATGTGCTAGGAAGGAAGGGTATTATAAGTATTACATGACACAGAGGTGTAATATTGTCCTTGTGTAACTGATCAGCAATATAATAAAGCTTCCATTGAGCCCACACGGGGAAGAACTGTAGTCGTGATTAATTCAGTCCACTAAGGTAGATTTCTACTGTATATTTAAATAGATTTCCACCAGGCTAAAGTCCGAAATCAATTTTGTTCTTAGTGTAATTGGACCCTACTTTGAAAACAATTTACAATTTTAGCATTTGCAGGCGAATATGACTTGCTATTTTTAATTTTATTGTGTCTGAATTCTCAGAAAACTGATCAATATGTGATTTCACCATACATCTATAAAAAGACAGTCAGGGACACATACTGAGGATCAGACTTATTTACAGTCCCTGGAGTCTACCATTCTGGTTGAGTTTACTGGAATGCTGCTAAATGTTGAAGACTGTTTTGAGCAATTTGATTTCTTGGGCATTGTGCAGTTCCAAAGTGTGTTTGAGAAGTTCATTCACTGGTGATCACTCGTGTGTTAAATGAATAATTCAAAAAACATTCTGCACACTGATTTACGTCTGGTCAAGATATTTGAACAAGAGAATGTTGGATGAATTTCTAACAGTAAAATAAACTGCAGCTCTTTTGGAGATGGGAATGATCTATGCTTTATAGCAGCTTTCGGTACAGGAATGTCTTCAACCTAGGTGCTGTGCACTTGAATCCAGATTGCCATAAAATTAAAGCAGTTGCTGACTATAACCTATTCCATCATTTTCTGTTTAAATGTAATGCAAGGAAACTTGTGCATCTATTATATTAGTGCATGGATTCATATTCAATCCTTGGAACTTCTGCACTCTGCTTTTTCACACATTTTATTGTGTTAAGAACAAATGTCATACCCATTAACCCACTGAGTGCTAGCAGATCCAAAGGTTCCTGTTTCTGAATGCCAGCTGTTTCTGAATGTTTTCAGCATGTACTGGGATGCTGAGTAATTACATTAACAGTGTATAGTAATAAAGTTACTCAAACAGGATGAATAATTGTATCACTGTGGTGGCCACTTATATATATATATATATATAACATAATTTAAATTAAAAAATAAACATTATACATTTTTACCTCACACCTGCATCCATTCTTTCCTCCTATGGAATATAGTTCCACAGGCTTCCTTTTCCCTCAGATAACTCACTCAAGTAGCCCTTATCCATATATGAGCATGGTCAGTAATTACAGGCAGTTGTACTACAGGAATTGGAGTGGATGTTAGCAACTTTTGTGAGTCTTCTATAAAACAATGCTTGGATTTAGTGTTTTGTATTGTGATTGTTCGAATATCTCTCTGGAGCTGTTATAAGCAAATAAATAAGTGCCTCAAAGACATTTTCATGTCCTGTTGTTCGACCCATTATCACCGTCAAACAGCTTGCACTTCTATTTTAGCTTTCATGTAGGATGCATGTCTCATTAAAGTGTTTCATAATGACAATGGGGACCCCTGAATGGGCAGGAATGGGAATTTTAGATGTTGATCAAAGACATGGTGACATTTTGAAGAGGGTTTTGAGGGCACCAGATAGGGTCCAATTTGTAGGTTGTGTTCTATTTAATTTGAACACGATTCCCCTGATGGATAGTTCATCAAGATGATTGCAATGGATTTTTTCTAGTTTCTGGGTGTGTGAGGACGTTTCTGAGAAAGGACTGCCCCTAATCCCTCCAAATCCAATATTTGTGTTACAGATAGCACTTTCTAAATTAGTGCAATATATCATGGAAGCTGTGCTATTGCCAGGATTTGTATATAGCCTTAAGCTCACGGAAAGATAAATCCTAGACAAGCCTCATGAAATGAACTTGTGCATGATCCAGATTTGTTATTTTGACAACTTTGTTTAGAAATAATGGAGCTGCCTAATGGCTTAGAGGGTAATTCATACATTTGATATGATGCTGAGTTCTACAGACCAGGAAGGAATCCAAGGCAGATGCACAGTTAGCATATTCCACTTGGGAGTGGGATGGCCCCCTAAATTGATTTTACTGAACTAGTGCTGCAACCTGATGGAGTTGCTCCTTGGTCAAATATATGTAGCTCACTGGCATTCACTGTTTAGGTTTGTTCAAGCAAAATAAAAAAAAGTTTTGTCTTGGTACATACTATGTCAAGCTGGCTCAGTTGGTAGCATTCTGACCTCTGAATCAGAGGTTGTGGGTTCAAGCCCTACATTGGGACTTTGAACTCATGTTCACACTCCAATGCATTGTTGGAGGTGCCATCCTTCAGATGAGACTTAAACCAAGGCCCAATGTACTTGTTCAGAATGACATGAAAAATTCTATGGCTCTATTCAAAAAGGAGGGAGTTTTTCCTGGTGTCCTGACCAACCATCATCCAGTTTTAAAAAAATGGTCATTCACTTTATGGCTGTTTGTGGGACATTGCTGTGTGCAAATCAGCAGCCATGTTCGCCTACAAAATACACAGCAACTGCACTATGCAGTATATCTTGTGAATAGCTTTGGGACATCCTGCTGACATGAAAGGTGCTAAACCGAATGTAACTATTCTTATACGTTGTGTCATCCTCATAATTTTAGTTTGTAGTTCAATTTCTACTAAGTAATAATAACAATAATAATCTTTGCATTTGATATAGCGCTTTTCACATCGGGAGGACGTCCCAAAGCGCTTCACAGAATATACTGTAAAGTGAATTGACTGTACATTTGTGGGCGAACGCGGCAGCCAATTGCGCACAGCAATGTCCCACAAACAGTCGTGGATTGAAAATGACCAATTTTATTATTGTTTTGGAGGGATTATTATTAGGCGTGTGGAGTAAGGAAACTTGCCCAAGGTTTCGCCCTGCCGGGAATTGAACTCGGGTGTCTCGCTTGCAAAGCGAGTGCTCTAACCACTGAGCTACAGGACTCCGGAGTAGAAATCTTGGCTGATTGTTTCATACGTTATTTGCTTCAGAAATCTTATTGAATTTTGTTTGTTGGTTGATTGGAAGGGAATATTAACAAATCACATTGGATTAACATTAAATCTGTAGATTAGTTATACTTTCAATGCATTAATCTGAGTGACATCCCAAAACCATCTCAGACAGTTCTTTCAGAATTGAATTGAATCAATCAAGTAACTGCAGTGTAAATGTATTACGAAAGGTGATACAAATCGAACATTGAAAAGAAGTTAACCCATGTTCAGTGTCGGGTAGTAAAACTCATCACGTGCAAATCCACATTTTTTTTTAACCAAATCCCAGATCAGGCTATTTTTAAAGGAAATTATTGTGATTCTGAATGTCTTCAAAATGGAATGTCGTCGCCATTTGATGATTATCGAATCGTCTGCCGTCTTCACCTACAAAATGCACAGTCACTACACTTTACAGTGTATTTTTTGTTCTGGGTCATACTAACGATTAAATTTGTTTTCGCATTATCCCTGTCTCCACCCTCTCCTCATTTGATAGCTTCTTGAATGATGAATAATAATCCCTCCAAAAAAACAAAACAATAATAAATTGGTCATTTTCAATCCATGACTGTTTGTGGGACATTGCTGTGTACAATTAGCTGCCGCGTTCGCCCACAAATATACAGTCAATTCACTTTACAGTATATTCTGTGAAGCGCTTTGGGACGTCTAGAAGACGTGAAAAGCGCTATATCAAATGCAAGGATTATTATTATTGAAATGATTGAATGATTCTGATCAAGAAGTTGTTTTACACTTACTTTTTTCTTCCTATAGTGGTTGATAGTCCTGACTGAAAAAAAAATCCATGTCAATTTTGTTTTGCATTCTAGATACATTTGAATTGTCTCATGTTCTTTCGTCGCCTGGCAATAGAAGCTAGGGACAAAGCTGTTGAATCAAAGTGTTCACTGATTCAGCCGAACCATGTAATGCAAGTGGCAAAGGTAAATCTGACCTCTATTTACATTGGAATCATTAAAGTTTTACTTTTGTATTAGAATAAATCATAAACATCTTGAGCATTGCATTGCAATAGACATGGGAAAGGTGATCATTGAGTTTTCAGTCGGTAATACAGCATGATGAATGTTGTTTAAACTATTTCGGACATAGTTACCAAACCATTAAGCCAAGGGGGAGGGTCACTTCCAAAGGCAATCTTTACAATGGATGGAAAACTATGATATTTCATAACTGATTCAACACAATATTATTACATTAAATCTCTTTTAAAAGATCACAATTTTTACCCCTTGGAGCCTAAATGGAGTTGTTACACTCTGCTGAAGCTGCACACTTGGTAATGTCTTTTTTACAACTGGCATTTACATAGTGGCTTTTGGAAAGGAAAACTTCGTAAAATAACTTTACAGAGACTGGGTGAAAACCCCAACAAGAGGGTTGGGTAAGGGGAAAGTAACTAAAAGCAGGGTTGAAAAGATCGTTTTTAGTAGGGGTTTTGAAAGCAGAGGAGGATGTTAGGTGGAGGGAATTTGGGAGCTTTCCAAAGAGTAGGGTGGAGTGGCTGAAAGGGGAAGAGATTGAGATTTAGGCAAAGGCACTTTTTCCCTGCCTTGTAGTAAGCAAAATGTAGACCCCAAATGCTTTTTTCAGCTTATTTTCTCCAAATTCTTTTCAATAAACATAAAATTGGAGAACAGTTTAGGTTAAAATAGCAGTTTTTCTAACAAAAATATTACCTATGATGCTTGTGTATGCATGCATTCAGATTGCAATAGTCCTTTGATATTTATCCAAAGAATAAAATTTATACTTGTTAAAATATTTGTTGTGACCTGCTGCATTATAATTAATATGACAACCTGTTCTTAGATCATTGTGTACAAAGCATCATGATAGCTCGTAAAACACACAGAATACTTTCAGTAGTTGAATATGGTTCTGTTTTCAATTTACAGACTGTCCTAAAGAAGAGCAGAGGCTAAACAGAAGAAAGATGCAGCGCTGCATTATAAAGAACACTTTAATGTCTGTTATTAACTCATTATTAACTGAATTATTTGGTTATGTTTAACAACATCAGATGAGATACTCTTGTCAGTTTAATGTATGTTTAAATTTCTTGTTTTTGAGATATTTCTTTGTTATTTTCCTTTGATCACAATGGCTTAGAGATATCCAACACAACAATGAGTATTCTGTGTACTTAATGTAAAGCATTTGGGTTTTACCAGAATAGTAGTTCTTGATTTTAGTTTTCTTTAGGGCTTGTGGAACATGAAGAATTCATATTTCAGGCTGATAAGATCCCTGGAAGAACTAACTATTCAAATTCCTGTTTCTGTGGGGTAATACAGTACTAAAAATGATTAAAGGGCATGCATTTGGAGTTTTGTTTTACTTGGCTGTAAATAAAATTTGCTGTATGTACAACTACACGTTTTTGATTTGCGTTGAATGTCAGATAAAAAGCCCGAAATTCAATCTAGATATCCAGTTTTTGCTATTACCTTTTCATTGATTTATACACTACGGTTTACATTTATTTAGTCTTTCATATCAAGAGGACATCTTAAAGCACTTGATCTCCCTATATACCTCTTTTCAATCATGGTGGCCTCCTGTGTGACTGCTTAATAATGTGAGAGAATTGAGAGGAAAAGGAAGTATAATGAAAGATACAATTTGCTAATTTGAATTAAGCAAGTTCAATTTCTTATCCCTTTCCTACAACAACTTCTTACACTTGTGTAGAGTTTTTCATGTTGGAAAACATCACAGCAGTTTTCTGAATCATAAGTATTCTTGCATTTGATATAATGCCTAGAACACTCAAAACATCTCCAAGCACTTTGAGGAAATTGCTATCAAGTGTACAATAAGTACAAATATATAGCAGCCAATTTTTTGCCTGGCAAAAAAAGTTAACCCAATCATGAGGTGATGGCCAATTTATTTAGAAGAATATTGGTCAGGATACTGGCAGTACCTTTTATTTTTTGTCATAGGATATCAAACGCAAGGATTATTATCTTTCATGTTCAACAGAACAGGTTTAACATCTGAAAGATTGCACTTTAAGGTCAGCTTAGACTGAGTTAAATGTCCTGAAATAGAATTTGAACCTCAACCATCTGCCCAGAGGCAAGATTTGCTAGCAATTAAGCCATGTTGATACCACATTAATGTTTAGTTGATTTGCTTTGAATTTTATTTTGTAAGTGGTTTGGCCCCTCCTCTTGAAGTCATTGAGTCTTAATGGGATAGTTCCATGTTTTTCATGAGTGAGGGGCATGCTATTTGACTATAAAGGGCATCACAGCTGAACTTAGTCCTCCTGTTCTTGTGTTAATGTTCACACTCATGCACTTTCCAGCTGGAGTCACTGGATGGAGAACAGTTTCATGCATATTTCAAGTTATTGTATCAGCTCCCAGCTCTTAACTATGATGGCTCCACTCTTGATCTTTTTTCATCTTTTGACATTCTGGATTTCTTTCCTCTCAAATGGAATCTCTATTTCTGAGAAGGTTTGATTCTTATTTATGCCAACCCATTCTTTTCCCTCCAAAAATGCTCAACTTTATAAAGTCCGCCCAATATTTGAGTACTGAACTTAACAGTGCTTTAAAATCATCCAGTTCTTACAGCACCTTTCATGCATTCCTGTGTAGGATAAAAGAAAATGTATGTTTGATTGGCAAATATTTCTTCGAACTCTGACCTCAAACCTCTATCTTCAACCTAAAACATTTTGTGTTTATTTGAAATATACGGCCAATTGTTCATCTGAACTTTCCTCAATTTTCTTCAAAGTGCCATTTCACAAAATTTTCCAACTTAAAACTCCACAGTATGTCGCCTATTAACATATTGTTTCCCAGAACAATGAGGACATGGAACATACCTCTCAGTCTTCCCTTCGAACAACCTTGGGCAAGTTTCCTTACTCCACACACCTGATAATAATCCCTCAAGAAAAAAACCCAATAATAATTTGGTCATTCAATCCATGACTGTTTGTGGGACACTGCTGTGTGCTGCGTTTCGCCCACAAATATATAACCAATTCACTTTGCAGTATATTCTGTGAAGCGCTTTGAGATGTCTGGAAGACGTGATAAGGCAATGTGTCAAATGCAACCATTATTATTTTAAGGCTAATCTCTTCACCTATCTGGATGCAATCTAGTCCTGAGGTAGAGTGGAATCATCTTCTGCCTGTTCTACATCAATAGGGTTAATTTTGTTTAAGTACGTTGGGTGCTCTGAAGGGTGGAGGAATTCTTCATAATCTGCTCCTGCAAGCCAAAGCCTTGATGGTGTTTCAAGCTGAACTAATCAATACCTCAGTGCAAACCTCATTTCTTGCCAACCTGTGGCTAAATTTTCCACTATATAAACAGGGTGGGTCGCTCTAGGGAGAGAGTGCATACTCAACGCCAGTCAGATGAAACTTTCTGTACATATGTGGAATGACCAGTCTGGTTTGGAGAATGGTGATGGGTTTTCATATCAGATACCCAGCTGATCAGAACCAAATCTTAGCTGAATTACTTAAGTTAAATTTACTCTTGACAATCAGCAAGATGAAGATACATGACCCATCTAAATAATGAGATTGCTTTTAAGACCTTGACCCTTTACCGTTAGGAACTTCAGTGAACTGCATCTTTAATCTATTAAGTAGAAGCATATGCAATTCATACGTAAAATGCGTTATCAGGCTGAGGTGAACTTGGGTTAATTGAGCCAAATGCTGTAGAACTGTGGTTATCTTAAGTAGTGTATGTGCTGATCATGTCCATTCTTGTTCCACAGGTGAATTGTTTGGAATAGTATGATATCTTAACATCTTTGAATTTATTTGCTAACATCTGTTGCTGAGCCAGAAACACATTGCTGGCTGAGTATTTAGTAATACTCAGCCAGTTCCTATTTTTCTGGGATTTTTTTATGCCTCTTGATTGGCTCCATATGCCAGTCAGACATGCCGGCTCCTGTTAATATCATTCCAAGAGGCTCGAGCGCAGAGAGCAGACTGAAATAGGTCTCTATGAGGAGGAAAATATGGTACAAAAGTTATATGTTATATTCTACCCATGGAAAAATATTTTAACATTGCTTTTAAATCTGGGGAGTACTTTTAAATCTGGGAGTACATCCCTCAGAGGATAGAGTTCAAAATCCTCATTCTCGCCTTCAAAGCCCTCCACTGCTTTGTTCCTTCCTACCTCTGCAACCTACTGACCCCATATCAACCCATCCTCTCTCTCCACTCAGCAGGCTGTGGCCTGCTCCACATCCTCCGCTTGGCCCGCTCCACCATTGGCGGTCGGGCTTTCAGCCTCTCTTCCCCCATCCTCTGGAACTCCATCCCACATTCCCTTTGTCTCGTTCCTTCCCTTGCCTCCTTCAGGGTATACCTCAAGACCTCCTCTTTGACCGTGCCTTCGGCCAACTTCCTACCCGCTCTGCCCTCCACCCTCCCTGATCCCAACCCCCCCCTCCCCCCATTAGAGTCCTAATCTCTGACTGTTCAGTGCCTTGGGACATCCTCCCAACCTGAAAGGTGCTTTACAATTGAATTTTGTATTGTATCCAATTTTTATGCTTTATTTGCAACCTTCAAAATGATGCTGAGTCACTTCTGTTTGTCTTTTCTACCCTTGCCACTGCCCGAGTTATAACATGTTCAATGCATCAGTCCTCAAAACAAGAGCAGTAAATAATGCAAGGATCTTCAGGAATTTGGATTTGAACTTGTGCAAAATAGTTCAGAGGACAATTGTCTGCAAGACTTTGAAAGTCACTAAGTGTAAAATTAGCTTAATCAACAACATTCTGATGTGTAACCTCTAATGCATTTCATACTTCAGATCATTTTCATTAATTATTGAATATGTTATCTGGTTTGAATTAATTTTAACACTCAGTTCTACGTGCATAGGGAATGGAATACTGAAATAGGAATCATATGTGACTTGTACTTTTTCCATCTTCAGGATTTGATGCAGAAATTAATGAATCTTGTTTTATATAACCATCTGCTTTGTGCTCAGAGCAATTTGCTATTGATGAAACATCAGTGTGTCTATGTCATTCTGTGTTCAGTCAATGACTGAAGATGCTGCAAAAATGAACATTTAAATTAATGTTTGTGTACCAGCATGGTCCAACAGGCCACCGGGCCACATCCGGCCCGGTGAGTAATTTTATCCGGCCCGAGACCATTACCAACATTGCAACTTCCGCTCCCTCCCTTCCTGGTGAGCATCCTTCCAGGGCAGCGGCAGGAGCCGGTGTTTGGGAGGACCCAGTGCAGAGAGTGGAAATAATGCCGGCTGTTATTGTAGTGTGTTCTGGAGCTGAGGGGATAGCAAGTGTGTCTCCTTATCCACTGTGTCCTTAGCAACCGCTGGCTCCTGCTGTAGATAGTGAAAGATTGGGAGAGAGAGAGAGAGAGAGTTTGAGAGATGGGCAGAGAGAGGGCGGGGAAGATTAGAGAGAGGGAGGGAGATAGAAAGGGATTGAGAGGGGGAAGATAGGGGAAGAGAGCGCGGGGAGAGGGAAAGGGAGAGTGGGGGAGAGTAAAAGGGATGGAAGAGAGGGGCGAGGAGACGGGGAGAAGGGAACAGAGAGGGGGGATGAGGGAGGGAGAGGAGGAGAGGGAAAGAAAAGGGAGAGAGGGGGAGAGCGAGTGATTAAGTGAGGGAGACTGAGTGGGGGTAGAGAGAGAGTAATTCAAAGAGGGGGGCGAGGGAGTGATTCACAGAGGGGGAGAGAGCAGAGAGATTGAGAGTGTGTGTCTGAGAGTGTGAGAGGGGGAGATTGAGAGAGGGAGATAGAGAGTGATTGAGAGAACATGAGGGAGAGGGGGAGAGAGAGAGAAACAAAGAGAAAGAGAGGAGAATTGAGGGTAGCATTTTGTGGCTTAGCATCAGGACAGATGATCGGAATCTCCCTCAGCCACTGTGGGGGGCACCAAGGACAAACACCGAGATACGTGCCATGGAGTTTCCTCACAGAAAGCTCCCTCTCCTCAGTGAAAAGCCTCATAGTTTTAGTTTGTAGTTCAATTTCTACTAAGTAATAATAATAATAATCCTTGCATTTGATATAGTGCTTTTCGCGTCTTCTAGACGTCTCAAAGCGCTTCACAGAATATGCTGTAAAGTGAATTGACTGTATATTTGTGGGCGAAACCGGCAGCCAATTGCGCACAGCAATGTCCCACAAACAGTCGTGGATTGAAAATAGCTAATTTATTATTGTTTTGTTTTGGAGGGATTATTATTAGGCGTGTGGAGTAAGGAAACTTGCCCAAGGTTTCGCCCTGACTGACCTGCCTGGAATTGAACCCAGGTGTCTGTTTACAAGGCGAGTGCTCTAACCACTGAGCTACAGGACTCCACAGTCCTTTAAAGCACATC